GGCAGAATGTTATTGAAGTAAGGTATAATTTAATACACACATACAAACATACATACAAACATACATACATACAAACATACGATGACCCTTCAGGATCTGATGTTGCCGAGGGATGGGATTTATGTCGATAACCTCAGAATGCAAGTATACGATGTGTGGCGCGCCACCAACGGAGATGTGGATGCGTTCGGGAACCCCTCGCAAAGCCTGATAGTTACACTATCACCCCATGGGCCCAGGGACGGTCCCTGGCTTGGGAGAACCACACCATGGCTGACCGATATATCGGCTACACTTCAGTGGAGGCGGGCACCGCGGCTCTTAAAGCGTCCGATTTTAAAAATGAAAAATACGTTTCATTAAACAATTTAAGCAAAATATTTCAACCCATATGCATCGAAACGTTCGGACCAACAGATAAGGACACATCATTATTCATTAAAGAATTAACAAGAAAAATAGTTAATATAACGGGTGATCCTAACGAAGACAATTATTTAAAACAAACTCTTCCACTTTATTACAAAAATTTAATTCCTTTTGCATTCTGGATGGAGCTGCTAGATACCTGACTGTGCGGGACCAGGGACATAGATAAAAGGTGAACTCGGAAACGATTGCATGCCTAACCATGGGTTGTTCATCAAAACGGGTTCATACATACATACATACAAACATACATACATAAAAACATACATAAGTACATACATCCATACATGCAGACATACATACATACTTAAATTCATACAGACAGACAGGCATCAAAACAAACATACATACATATATACAAACAAACATACAAACACACACACACATAAGCACACAAACAAACAAACATACAGAAATAAATCTCTAAAAAACTTCCAGGCAGGCAGACATTCAATCAATAAAAAGCCCTCGTGGCGTCCACAACATACATTTTCGTTTTGGGTTTAAGAGGGTGTTATCATCATTACCATCATTTTTACTATCAGTATCATCATCGTCGTCATCATCATCACCACCATCCTCATCATCATCGTAATTTTTCTTACCCTTACGGTCGTCATCAGAGCAATCATCGTCATCATCATCTAGTTAAATTCGCAGCATCGTTTTTATTGCAATAATTCATTTCATTCGCATCATCGTGTCAACCGCATCATCGTCACCATCATCATCATCACCATCATCATCACCATCATCATCACCATTATCACCACCATCACCATCATCACCACCACCATCATCACCATCTTCAGACTCACAGCTTACCATCACTTAAACGCCTATTTTGATCGTCGGTCCAATTTTAAAGAAACCAGGCAGTTATGGCTTTGCATGTCTATTTGTATGTATGTATATAAATAAATATTCATACGTATAAATATTCATACATATACAAATAAATATTCATACGTATAAATATTCATACATATACAAATAAATATTCATACATATACATATAAATATTCAGATATATATATATATATATATATATATATTTATAAAATTATTAATTTGTTTTTTTTCTATCAGTTGATCAGTTGAAGAAAACCTATCAGTTCATTGGTCGGCGATTTTTATAATAATGGCTATTTTGATTGGTTTGATAAAAAATTTGATTTTGGAATATATCTTTATATAAATATCTATACATATGATTCATTTGTATATATACATATGCATTTTTAGGAATATGTTCATATAATGCTGTCGAAGTTTGGGATGTCATTTGATGTTTGTTGGTGTTGTTGTTGTTGTTAATGTTTTTGTTGTTTTTATTATTGTTGTTGATATTGTTGTATACTTACGAAAATACTAGCTAATATGTCGGCTTTAGATTGGTTAGTTTAAAAATAGCCAGACAGATGGACGTATGTTTGTGCCGTGATAACATAATGTCCCATGTTTTCCACTTGTCAACTTGACATTTTCAAATGCCTATATGTTTGTTTGCACGCGTGTTTGTATGTGCGTTTGTATGTTTGTATATGTGTGTTTGTATGCTGGCTGCTTGGGTGTTTGTTTGTATCTACATGTACGCAGATTCGTCATCATTTAAATTGGTTTTAATTTTATCTGAACTTGAAAATTCGCCAGTCTATTTCTTTGTGTGTATATGCGTTTAGGTTTTTTTATTGTCGTGTTTGTATCTGTGCATGTATGTATGTTTGTATGTATGTATGTTTGTATGTATGTGTGTATGTATGTATGTATGTATGTTTGTATGTATGTGTGTATGTATGTGTGTGTGTGTATGTATGTATATGTGTGTGTCAGTGCGTCGTGTGCGCGCGTGTGTGTTTGTTTATGTTTATTCACGCGACTGTGCCTCTGTTTTGTTTATTTTATTTGTATGAATTTGTATTGTATATATATATATATACACACCTGCCTGTTTAATGTTTATGTTTCTTCGTGCGATGGTTCATTTGTATGTTTGTATTTGCATTTGTATACATGTATATATATATATATATATATACAGTTCAAAAAATCCACCGACGATTCAGCATTAACAAGTTTTATGGTTGATTTTCTAATATTTTGAACTAGTTCTTTACAATTAAGTCTATTCAAAATGTTGAAATCCATTTTATAATCGTTTATGATTTTAATTGTTAAAATTAATCAAGCAAGATCCCATTTTTATAATCGTTTATTTTTTATATTATTATTAAAATTATGCATATAGATGTATTTCGACGTAAAGTCATCATCAGTGCAATATATTTTAAATAAATTCTATTAATAATTCAATTATATATATATATATATACATACACACATACAAACAAATATAAATACATACAAACATTCAAACATACATACATACATACATACAAAAAACATACATACATACATTATATACCGAATACAATACAATGCAATACAAGTGGGTATATTGGATAGAGAATTACAGACTGGTCTTTTCAATGCGCAAATTCACCTAGGACTCCAACTGATTTTTGCAATTAAAACAACACTACATACCTGACATCGTATATTAGATTTTTAGGCTATTGTATCGAGTTGTATAAATTGTATATGTGTGTATGTATGTATGTATGTATGTATGTATGTATGTATGTATGTATGAATGTATGTGTGAGTGAGCGTATGCATGCATGTGTGTTTGTGTGCGTGTATGTATGTGAGTGTGTGTGTGTGTAGTTTTGTATGCATGCAATAAATACAAAAGATACAAAAGAAACAAGAACATACACACTTTAAAATGACGGAAAGCTTTGGTAAGCTTCAAAGCAAAACCTTGTGCTCCGTTGCTTTTCATACTTCTAACAATAGCAAAATGCATAAATTATTATACAATCTTTTGTATCTCGTGAATGTATGTATGTATGTGGGTATGTATGTGTGCTTTCATGTTTGTGTGTACATACAGATATATGTATTAGTATGTTTGAAGTTAGACAAATTTCCAATCTTTTTCTAGCGTCTAGAATGGAGGAACATCTAAATTTTTATACACAAACACACACACAGGTATATTAAACACATACATACGAACAAACACACATACAAACAAACATACATACAAACAAACATACAAACAAACATACAAACAAGATTAAGTATGCAAGCAAGCAAACTGACTCATTAAGTAGGACCGTTATGTAAACACGACTTGGAAATGATTTCCAATAAATACCTCAACCATTGTTGTCCTTGCGCTAATAGAGTTTCAGTCTCTCCTAGACTAACAAGTAGAAGTGATCAAAAATTACACCAATACAATCACCATGGTCGTCGCCGATCATCATCTTAATCATCCTTAATCATCCTTAATCATCCTTAATCATCATCGCCTAACACAATCTTAAGCCTTCATCATCGTCATCGTCTTCATCGCGGCAGACAAAGACTTCCATGATAACGACGATGATGATGATGAGGAAGAAGATGAGGAAGATGAGTCATACATACGCTTTTTTATCCTCTGCAACTTCTCTCGTAACGATGATGACGACGACGATGATGACGACGACGACGATGATGATTGTGGTAATGATAGCGATGATAGTGATGTTGTTGATTATCATGCTGTTGATAATGATGATGATGATGATGATGTTGTTGATGATGATGTTGTTGTTGATAATGATGATGATGATGGCGATGATAATGTATAATTTATATCCATTTTTAGCTATTTAATCATAGCAGTCATCATCACCATCTTTGTCATTGTCGTCATCATCATCGTCATCATCTTAGTACGTTCGCACGTTCAAGAGTGAAATCAGAGTGAGTGAGTGTTGTTGGTCATGGGCGGATGTTTGAACCATTGAATGAAGAAGAAAGTAAATAAATGGATGAATGGGTGAATGAATGAATGTGTGAATGAATGAATGAATGAATGAATGAGTGAATGAGTGAATTAGTGAATGAGTGAAAAACCAAAAAAATACAAACAATTGATCGCATTAAACTTGAAAAAATTCTAAATCAAGAAGAAACTCCGATGGAAGATATGATAGAAAGAACAAACCGACTGTAAAAAAGAATGAATGTTGTATTAAACAAACAAATAAAGAAAAGAATCAAATTTTGAATGCACGATGGATGGAACGAACGAACGAATAAAAGAATGAAGACAGGCTTCCAACTGTGTTGGCCGGTCCAATCTCAGGTGTTGTTCAATTTTCGTTTGTATGTGTGTCTGTATGTGTGTGTCTATGTGTGTGTATGTGTATGTTTGTATATGTGTTTATGTATGTGTGTGTATGTATGTATGTGTATGTAAACACATGAAAGGCATGTATGTATACATGCCTTTAAGCATGCATGCGTTAAAGACAAAGGCACAACTTTGCAAGCACAAACACACACTCACACAAATGCACAGAAGCAAACAAACAACACACACGACCAAACATAATTATATACAAACACACACGCGCGCGCACACACAAAAACACACGATCACAAACAAACATGCCATGGGCATCTTCTTTACATTGCCAATCACAATTCAATTCAATTCACTTTCATATATCTTTTGTATATATATACATGCATGCATACATACACACGTGCATAGACACATACATACATACATACATACAAACAAACAAACTAACATACAAACAAACATACAATACAAATCCATTAAAAAACAGACTCGTTATTCATTGCTGCACTTTGACAAGAAAAAAACACTTCATTATCAAGACAGAATACTACTTACATACAAATTACTACACACATACATACAAACACACACGCACATACAAACAAACAAACAAACATACGTACAACCACTTTGTTGTACATACTCTGACCTTAACGTACACACATACATCCATACAAATTACTGTACAAAGCACGTACGTACACTGTACAGATAATAATATACGAAGTGTACAGAAATAGAAAATACAATTATTGCCACTACTACTACTGCTACTTACTGCTACTACTACAACTTCTGCTACTACTACTACTACTACTACTACTACAACTACTATAGTAGCAGTAGCAGCAGCAGCAGTAGTAGTAGTAGTAGTAGTAATAGTAGTAATAGTAGTAATAGTAGTAGAAGTAGTAGTATTGATTTGGTTTCTATTAA